TTACCTACTAAAAAGAGAAAAGCAAATACAATTTTACACAGTAAATATTTCTTTATAGGTTTCAAACCCCATTTCATTATCAGTAGCTAGATGCAACTCTTGCTCTCAAAAGCTAGCCTTCTCTTTCAACAATCAGAGATCTCATTGTTGGCTCAAAGATAGAAAATTCCTCAAATGTGCTTCTGGTTCACAATTAAGAGATTCTACAGCCGAAAGCTCTATGCTGCTTAGATTCACAGTACTGGTATTTTCAGTTAGGGACCAAATTACAAGAAAATCCAGTGGTTACAGTACTTCAAATATTATTTTGACAAATTGGTGCTCCTCCAGTCTCAGTCTTAATTCAGGTCTGTTTTAAGAGGTGCTGCAGTTTTTACTGCGTATTTAACAACTAGAATACGTAGAATACTTGTAATAGATCTGATAACAGCTACTGAAATAAACAGCTCCTCTCTATACACATTAAAAGGAAGCTGTCGTATTCCCTGTATGGTAGAAAGGATGCTGTCAAAAAAAAGCAAGGACCTAATGGTACAATATTCAAAGCCATAAAGTACTCCCAAGCTTCAACTAACTGAAAAGAACAAAGAATTACCAAAAAATCCCAGAAGCAGCTGAGCTTGTTAGCATCCCAGGTCACCATCACCTTCCCAATAATAATCTCACAGCTTTTCGTTAGAGTCAAAGTTATAAACATGAAAAACATCCGTACATAAGTTTGGTGGCCAACCAACATACTTGAGCATTTCTGCACAAAGCAAAAGAAACACCTGCATCTCTTAAAAGTATTTGTGCTGAAGTCAGTTGCATTTCTGTACCATTGCATGCAGGATGCAGCATTGGTTTTAAGACTTCATACGCTGCTTCAGTTTAGACACTGCTATCTACAGTTATATGTAGTACAAGAAAGTGACACATTTGCACAGGTATCTTTATTTTCTCCTGTGTTTACAGTGCTTCGATTGTAATTTTAAACCATTCAGAAAGCACAATTTCATACCAATTTTACATACTTTACATCACAGTTCAACAACGTTGACACATTTGTATCTACTAAATCAAATGAACAAAATGGCCATGAACATTTACACTATTCCTCTGTAAACAAGTTTTTTTATAAACAATGGTAAATGGAATTAACATGGACCACCATATGAAAGCAGAATGAGCTTTTCTTTAAATAAATCACTCTGTTTATAAATACTTCAATTCTCTCAATATACATTTACAGACATAACTGGTTAAAAGCAGATTACCGACACTGTTCTTTAAAAAGAAACTGTCTAGAGATGGACCACTGTGTGTTAAATTCACCTAACATAGGAAGCAAGCATATGATTAGTAGAGTGTTAAAAGTATTACTGTACTTCAACCTCACTTCTGTTTGTTTACACCAACACTGAGAAGATTGTCATGTTAGGGAACTTCTACTTGAATTCCAGCAAGTTACAATCGATCTTGTAGTACACGTATGGGTAGTACTCCTGCTGACTGAGGTTTAAGCCTGGAATATCCATAGTTGCCTGCAAATAAAGTTTTGGAACCAGTTACACTCTTACAATTCAGACTCCTATTCAGAAGCAGATGAAATGTTTGTATGTTTTATAAGCAAATAGGCCAGACAAGACTTCAAGCTTAAATTTTCACTTTCAAGTGACTGTTTAAGCAACAGATTAAGTTAGAACTTTCATAAATGAATAACAGTATTTTTCAAAATGAAATACAAGTGCTTTTTCAAAATCGAAGTAGTTTTGTATCAATAATTCACATCTGTTCCTATAGCAAACACACCGCCACTAAATGGAAGGAGAGTACCGTAATTATGTTTTACTACTTCTAAACACAGACCGCTTATGAAAAGAATGTTATAGGGTGCTGAATGATCCAGGAAATTACGGGAAGTTCAGCATCTTTAATTTTCACCTTAATTGTCTCACATCCCCTTTCCCCAAGAAGGCCTGGAAATACTTTGCAAAAACATTACATAAGATGTAACGTTAAGAAAGATTATTTCTGACCTTTTAAAATTCAGCTAAACTCATTGTGTGGTACATCTTCAGTTAATCTTTAACTATGAGAAGCACTGCTTTTCAATACAAAACAAATTAGTAGCATAAGCCTCCCAGCAAACCAGTTTTAAACATGGAAATGAGACCCCTACAGATAGAAAGGATGACTCCAACTTGACATCAGTTCAGCCTCCTTCAGCAGAGAAAGACAACTACGTTAACTTAAAAACAAAGCCAGTAATGCAACAAAAAAAAAAAAGTTGTTGCAGTATTAAGGCCACTCATACCATAGACTGTGAACAATTTATATATATTTTTTTCTGAGCACAGAAGGAATATGAAATGTATTCAAGTTCCTTAAGCCTAGTTTCAGATCAAAATTGACTTTGTATGAATTCTTTGAGGATATGAATACGTATGCAGTCTACAAGACCTCCTTCCCTCAGTAGCAGGAAAGAACTCAATAAGAACAAATTACATGAGACTTTTATACCAGACAGCTTGTCAAATGCATTGGTTGAAACTTTAAATACCACGTGCTTTGCAAAAATGTAAAACAGAAGTGGCATTTTTACAAGGAGGCATAATTTTCTGTACTGTGAGAAAATGATGGAGAATATGGACAAGTATAGCTGTTTAACAAAGCCAACAGACTTGATTTTTGTTTAAACAGAGTAAACCTAATATTGAAGGGGAGCAGCAGTTACAAAAATACTTACATCAATGATAGCTGCCGCACTGCTGTCAAGGTGTTTGTATAAGTCATACAAAACCTCCCTCAATTTCTTCATTGTTTTCTTATTAGGCTGAAGCAGCATTGCCTGGAAGTTAACTGGCAAACCATACCTGAGGAAGTCAAGCAGAAAACCATGAAAATGACGAAATGAGCCTTTTATCTTTCAAAGCAGAATTTGATTTTATTTTGAGAAAGAATGCTATTGTTGAAGATTAAATTCTGCTCACTTTCATTTTTGCAAGACCTTTCTGTTTCTATAATTCATAAGGCATCAATAAAGTAGAATTTCTTTCTTCAAGTTTAAAATAACAAAACAGAAGTTTAGATGATTTTAAAATTATTTTAAATCTTTAAGTATGTAACACAATACTCAAAGCTACCTGGAGTCTCTGACTAAGCATTGAACATTCCAATTGGTTTACTTGCAAGACTTTGCTTATGCGAATAGGTGGAGAATCTGCTCTCTACTCAATCCTCCTTTCTAGTTGTGTAGAAATATTTGCCAATATTCAACTCAAGTTCAGCTTCCTTCCTTACTCAAGTTTGTCTTCGAAATAAGCCCATAGCAGCTGTTAAATGGACTAGAATGCTAGTTAATGTGATTATTTTTTTTTTTTCTTTTTCTCCTCTGGCTGTCTCCTTCATGAGAACTTATCGAAAAGACTAAAAAAAACCCTCCATTTTCTGACTAAGGCAGAAGTCCTTTCAACTCTAAAAAAAACCAGGTCCTTCCATCTGCAGAACAAGTACAGCTGTTCTTAAGTCAACTTAGGAACTATACTTCTGGATAGGTACGAAGAAAAAAAGCAGAGAAATTTTATAGTTAGAATATTGAACAGTTTAATAATGAAAAGTTTAGACTACAAAATTCTTAGAAAGGCACGTTTTAAAGAAAAAGCCTACGTTTCAAGGTGTTAAGCTATATTACTCAAAGCAGCTCATAAAGCAAGCTAAGAATCAGCAGAAATGCCTTGCTGCAACTTACAGAGTACCTACAACTCCTAAAGCACTGGTGGAAAGGCTATCCTAGGGGCAAGATACACAATTATCTAACTCGAATGTTCCACAACTGTCAACAAAAGCTATTGCCGTCAGCTATTCTTACTGCCCTACTTCCTGTTTCCTCCCTCCCGGAAGAGTGGCATTCACACACCTCAATTTGGTAAACCCAAGTTAGATGTAAATTCTTACAACGTCTAGGAAAAGCACTATTCAGGTCTGCCTCATTACCTTAAAACAGATTCAACAAAAACTCGCAGTGCTTTCACATGAATCCATGCAATGAAAGCTTCACTGAAATTGACTTTCAGCCACCGAACCAGAGGCCCCTGTGAAAGGGAAGAGGAAAAAAAAAAATGTTTTCATTCTCCAGGAAAAGATTCAGCCCATTAAGCACATTTGAACAGATACTCAGTATCTGTACCATGATAATAAAGACAACTTAAAGGCAACTTAAAGGTGGAGTTCACTATGGACATAACGGCTCAAAGGGTGTTTTGATACTAAGTAAAGAGAAACTTCATGAGGCTTCCATTGTCTCTTCTATACATCATCTCAGCTGCTGTGGGCTAACTATATTAAGGACCATTTTAGTAATGTCCGATTATTTCAATTCAAATACTTTCCGATTTTCAAACTTCATATATTATCAGCTGCAGTATCAGCACTTGGTTCAAGGCAGGGAGGAGCATTTGTGCTACAGGAAATTCAATTATCCCCAAGCAGATTAGCCGGGTGGCAGGCTGACTTCATCATTACATCCTTACAATGCTTTCTCAGAATCACAAGTTTATGAAATTGTTATGTAGCAGTAAGTCTTAGATGTCTCCTGTTTCTATAATGACTAGTTTATACAGACTTACAAACTGTTTCTTCTTGTCAGTTGACAGTCTATTCATTTCTTCCTTATCCGCTTTCATCTCTTCTTCATTGTACTGGAAGTCACGGACCATAAATCTGCATTTGGAAGTGAATAAAATCAAAAGTGACTATCTAGAGATCCTTCAAAGCACAAGAGAGAACACACACAAAATAAGGCTTACTTATATTCTCTGGCTTTATGCTTGAAGTCATCCACTGCCTTCCTGAACAAGGTGACATTACAAAGGTAACTATCTTGATCCTCAAAGAGTACACTACACAAAAAAAAGTGTCAGAATTAATAAGGTCCAGGTCACTGTAGATCTGATATAAAGTAGATTAAGTTGTACTTTATCCCTACTAGGCAAGACCATAAATGTAGTCAATCACATGAGACTAGTTCCTGAATTAAACAGCTTATACGGAAAGTAACTTAAACTTCAGCAACTGTTCTTATTACCCCCTTCCTAAAGGATGGCAGTTTCCACTTCACAATGAGAGACTTCACCACTCAGAAACACTTCATACATGTCTGGATATTTGTTCAGGTTCAATTTATTTTACAGAAAAACGAACTAAAGCTGGTTTAATACTGAGAAGTTTGGACTACAGAATTCTTAGAGATACAGGTTTTAAAGAAAAAGAAAATTGATTTAAAATAGAAAAGGACACAAATTAAGAGACATAATTTGTTAAGCAAAAGTGTTTCTCAGGCTGTAAAGACAACCCCTAGTTCCACTATTCTATAGTTCAAGACAATACTGCTTATTTTGAGACTTCATCTTAGGAAAAAAGCTTGAAGAGATTCAGAGTGTTCCTCAGTGCCATACTGGCTTCGATACAAGCATCGTCCAACAGTTTAACAAGTTACCTCTTCTTAAGCTATCCCTAGATCACGTGTTCCCAGTAATTAAACAAGAATCATTAGCAGATCTCCCACTAGGCTTAAGTTGATCCAACTCAAATGTGAAGTTAGCCAGATCACGTTCAGATTTTATAATTGGCATAGAGCTGGTAATATCAGATCTGCCTGACCAAAACCTCACTCTGTCAGTTCAAAGTAACAACAGAGCAACGCCTTGTGCTACATGTTGACTTTATTTTCAGTGTGATTACAAGATTGCTGAAGTGGCTTAACAGTTCTTCATTCTTTAGCAGCTTTCAGAGAGTATATGTAACTTGTTTCAAGCCCTCTAAATAGAGGCATAAAGCTTACAGGCTAGCAGCTAGGATTTGTTGCTAAACCCCACCATGCACTAGCTCAAAGCTGAATACGCTTGACCTGAACTAGATTAACTTTTCAATTCCTTTACTCTTCCCACGTAAGTTAATTTGATAACATTGTTAACCCTAGAGTTAGAGAACCTTTGAATTTTTCAACTACAACTATCAAGCTTGACCAGATAAAGCTATAAAGCTAGACGCTTTGACAAGTTTTTGACCAATCTTTAAAATTCAAAGTCACTACATATCAAGAACACTTATAAAATATAGCACACAGAAATATGAGATTTCGCATTTAACAACTTACTTGCTGGAACGTGGTACAACCATCTCTGCTAGTGTTTCATATTGTTTAACCCAGTCATTATAATTTAATCTAGAGAATACACAGATTATGGTTAGACTTTCAGTAAAGATCTTAGATTAATGGATCAAGTTTTCTAAAAAAAAATGTGGAAAACATCTAATCATCACATCTTCCAACCCAGGTGCAGGCTGTCAGCAATACACAAGACATCAGGAACAGTCCTCCTCATGCTGTTTTTAAGGTCATTGGTAAGTAAACTATAATGATAACAGGGTTGGACTAGATGACCCTCAGTGGTCCCTTCCAACCCCTACTATTCTGTGATTCTGTGATCTTCAGTCTTCATATAAGTGTAAAATTTTTGAAATCAAAGAACTATGAAACTAAATTAGTCATCATTAAGTACAGATCTCAGGGGACCAAATGGACATAAATCTCAAGGTTTATGAGAAAGTCCTTACGTAACTCTGCTCTTCTGAGTTACTAATAGGAATACTATTTCCACAACTACAAATGGGTTCCCCAGAGCCCTACACTTTCCTGAAGGACCACCAAGAATTCTGGAAGCCCTGCCCTTCTGTAGTTGGTGGTGAAGAGGTTCCACCCTTTCAACACCAAAAACAAGTCAAAGATACAAGAAAAATAACAGTCAAGATACACTAATCACCTGCTTTCTGCTAAAGCCACTGCAAGATTGTTTTGGGTTCACCAGAGTTTTACACGTGACAGAGACTACTGCTTCACATGGTAACCAGCCAGCTGGCTACCTTTACAAGTTAGAAGCTCTCTTTGTTCCCAGCTCCAGTCTAGTGTCATTTTCTCATATTACAAGAGTTTTAAGGGCATCTGTATCACCACTTTCCTTGGCCAAGGTGAAGGGTGGGTTTTTCCATTGTTCAAACATTTCAGACAGGAACAACCTGTTCCCAGCAAACCTTTGATATGACATAAGCAGTGTCCCATTGGTAGAGACTTAGGTAAGTAAAAAACCAGCTTTCTGGCAGTCTGAAAAAGTGCGGAGCAAAGAAGTAAAGAGTTCATTTCACTCACTAAGTAGTGAAAGTCAGCATAGTCCTAACCAGGGTAATTAAATCATTAAGCTTTCTAAGGTAAAACAAGTCATGTTTTTGCTCAGTACTTTTTATTTTCATAAGGATACCTTCTGCAATATGACTAGCCATGGCTAATATTAGATGAGGTATAAATCTAATCTTCAGTTTCTTAAAGAAATTCATGAGCAATCCGCATTCTTTTGTGATGTATTCTCATGAACAATGGAATACACATACACAGGCTCATTTGCCTCTACTAAGCTTCCAAAAATGTGTTAGTTCATCCAGGAAAACCCCAAACAAGTTCAGATGTCCCTTCTTACAGTACTATAGGGTTGTGGGATCTATTATTTGATTTAAATTTCTTATTTTATTCTGTTTTTAGAACAAACAATAAACTTACTTTGGTACAATCACTAATAACGTGACCAGATATTCTGAATCAAGTACAAAGTCCTCTTTCTTTACAATATCAGCAAGACTTCTGGTTAGCAAGCTCCCCCTGCAGAGAAACACAGACAGCTGGAGTAAATACATGTTTAAGAATTGAATTCATCTAGACAAGTTTCCAGTACGTGATAGTATAACATTTTCAAAAGTATATTTTACTTAAGCATTCACTATTAGCAGAGTGAACAAAATGTCATTATACACATTTTATACCTTACCGTCTAAAGTCACTGAAAGTTTTTATCAGTAGCTCCACTGCTGTACATTTTTCCCATATTCCAAATACCTCACACACTTAAGGAGCCAAGTTCTCTTTATAAGTGATTTAAAAACACAAGAACCATTAAAACCATTAATTGTGAAGTCTAGTGTACGGAGCCTCAGAGTTACAACAACCTTACTACAGACCTACATACAAAACTTCAATAAAAATTTAGAGCAGCATATTGCCTCTTATTCACAAAAGACTAAGAACATACCCAGGTTTAATGGGGCTTAGCTGACAAATTACCATGGCTTAAGAGGAACTAATGGCTCACTCACAAAATGGCTACCATTAGTATGACCCATGGTTCTGAATCAGCCAGGAGGCTTGTACCATTAACTGTAATGGTAGGGTTGGGTAAAATTAATCAACCATATTTGCACAGAACTACTGTACCTTAACTGTATTTCAGATAATCATCACATGTACAGGACAAGACAGCACGCAGTCCTTGTTTAATTTATTATCTGCACGTCCTGCACCTGGGGAGGAACAACCCCATGCATCAGTACAGGCTTGGGGCGGACCTGCTGGAAAGCAGCTCTGTGGAGAGGGACCTGGGTGTCCTGAAGGATGAAGAGCTACTGGAGAGAGTCCAGCGGAGGGCTACAAGGATGATGAGGGGACTGGAACATCTCTCCTACAAGTAGAGGCTGAGGGAGCTGGGCTTGTTCAGCCTGAAGAAGAGAAAGCTGCGAGGGGACCTAATATATGCTGATAAATATCTCAAGGGTGGGTGTCAGGAGGATGGGGCCAGACTCTTTTCAGTGGTGCCCAGCAACAGGACAAGGGGCAACAGGCACAAACTGAAGCATAGGAAGTTCCGTCTGAACATGAGGAAGAACTTCCTCACTCTGAGGGTGACGGAGCACTGGAACAGGCTGCCCAGAGAGGTTGTGGAGTCTCCTTCTCTGGAGATATTCAAGACCCACCTGGTCAAGATCCTGTGCAGCCTGCTGTAGGTGACCCTGCTTTGGCAGGAGGGTTGGACTAGATGACCCAAAGAGGTCACTTCCAATCCCTACCATTCTGTTACTCTGTATACAACAGCTGTCTCTCTGCTCGTTAATTTTGAGGGAAGAAACCCAGTAATATTGATATGCTTGAAGCATGAATTGGAGTGAAGGGAAAGACCTCCTTGTTTAGACAGACACCTAAGCAGCAGTGTTACAAACCACTTTAACAGCAAGCTTCTCTCAAAAGATCCAACAATTTATACTACTTGTACTTGCTTTTGTGTATTTCGTAACTGCTTATCAATCACCAGTGAGCTACTACCAGCAAATCAGCTGGTAATAAATGTTCTTTTCTGACAGCTGCTATTCAAGATTGATAAACACCTCAAAAATACATTCAGCTTTGAGCCTGTACCTCTTCACACGTTACTAAGTTTTCATGGTTAGATAACTTTCCTGTGCTACATTAGCAAAAAAGAGTGTGACTTACGCATTCTTTCTTTCCAAATTCTGAAGGTTCCCTTTCAGATTGTTGTATGCCGAGGCTCTTGCTTTCAGATCATTGTCAATCTGGTTTACTCCCTTAAAGATAAAAAGGAACAGTGTCTAAAGAACTAGAACAATTTTTAAATGAATTCTCAATTTCAAAGCTTAGATCTGCCAATGAGAAATTAATGAAAAATACAGAAGTAAAAAATGTTTATTTCTCTAGTGCTTGACACACTTCACTCAAAACTCAGAAAACTCTAAGTTAGAATTCCTTTAAAGGAAAATCAGCAAATAATAAAAGTTACATATCCTCTTCTGGTGTCGGCTGGACTTGCTACTACATCCAGCTGATCAACTACTCCATCACCTGGAAGCTACCACTCTATCTCAGCTGACAGGAGAGATCATTTGAAGTTTACCTTCCTACTGTGATACAAGTACATTTGTGAACACTGGGTACCATTTTCTCCAGCTGTTACCTCACTTCTCACTATATTTTTCCCTCATTAGTTTTAGTGACAAGAATGATGGTACAGTTTCATAAGTATCAAATCAAGAGTTAAGGAATGCACAGCATTAATGCTTTGCGTCTTCTACAACTTGAGATGAGACTCTGTTGCACTGTATTTGCCTACAAATTCGCACTATTCCTTGAGATGAACAGCCTTGGTCACTCAAAGATAGAATATCAACTAAATGCATCCTCCGCATGATTCCAAATCGCTGTTACTGTTTACAGTTCTAAATATTATCACAATTATTTTATGTCTTTTTTCCCCTCAAACAGATATATTTCCTATACTGTATGTTTGCAAAGGAAAATACCATAAACTATATCACCATCTCCCTTCACAAAGTCATAGAATCATAGGCTGGAAAAGACCTCTAAGATCATCAAGTCCAACCATCCACCCAACATCACCATTCCTACTGAACCATATCATGAAGCGCCACATCTACACGTTTTTTAAATAACTCCAGGGATGGTGACTCAACCACCTCCCTGGACAGCCTATACCAATGCCTGACCACTCTTTCAGTAAAGAAATTTTTCCCGATATCTAATCTAAAACTCCCCTGATGCAACTTGAGGCCATTTACGCTGCTGTTTGGCAGTGGCTTACAGCTATAAAGAAAACATTATTTCACAGAGACCTTCATTTAGCAAAAAACTTATGTATCTTGGAATGTCTGAAGTTGCACAGGGCCAGTTCCAAGGTAGACAGATAAACAGCATTTCAGACTTGAATCCAATTTATTTCAGACAATAAATGTATCTGTTGAGTCAAGTAGAGGTAGCATTCCACATTCAATGTCACTGGCAGCCTTCAATTGTCATTCAAACTTTCATATCAAAGTTCCAACTATTTTACTGTTTAGACTCAAACTCTCACACTTGGCTTGCCATTGCTGCAAGTAAATGATGTAAGCCATCTTTCTCAAATCCATTCTCCAGGATTAACTAGAATGATTATCAAAAATTATTCATTCACAGGCAGGTAATTTGGCAGCAAGTGCAAGAACATAAAACAAATGAAGCAATTAGTAGGTCTTAAACATTGAATCACAGTCCCATCAGCGTGTACCCTATACAAGAAAGTATTTTAGAATCAATATACTTAGTAACCGTTGGATAACTGAAGGAACGTGGTACGGTATCGATCTGGCATCATAATGCTGCCTGCTCCCTCACTAAGGTATGTGGGTAAAAGCGCATAAAAATTTCCAGGGCCAAGTATCTGAACACAGTCAAGGGACTCTCCTTTTATTTGGACTTAGACTGTTGACAAAGCATTTTGTTTGCATACAATACTTAAGCTTGGGCATGCAGATATTATTTTACTTCCACAAAACAAATCTTACAAGCAACGTCACTTAGTTATATAGTGACCTTGTTTATGGTAACACGTTAAGTTCACTCCTCTGTAGCAGGAAGAAGTCATTAAAAGCCTGAACATTCCGGCAGTTTCAATTGGCAACACGTTAACAGCTTGCACCTTTACAGATACAGCAATGCTTTAGACAAAATACTCTGAAAATAAGACCATTTACTCCTTAAACAGATGAGTATTTAAGGTTCTTTAAATTCTTTGACTGATGTCTTTAGCAAGGCGAGTGGAACATTTCAGCAGGCATCACAAAGCACACATCTTCATGAAAACATTTTTATACTACAAGAAATGGCACCATTTGTACAGCTAGAAGATAGCATTAGGGGAAAAAATAATCAGAGGCTACTAAGCTAGTATCTTTGTGCATTTAGACTTTTTCCCAGACCAACAACCTCCCCCTCTCTGCCATTTCCAAGGATCAAGACTTTCAACAACAGCCTAACTACACATTTGTTTAATGACAAAAAGCAAAAACCATTGATACCTAAGCACTGCCTTCACAAACCAGCTCCACTCATAATTTCCTGATTGTTAATAGCGTAATCGTTTTCATTTGTAAGTAGCCTTTTAAAAGATGACTGCTTAGACAAAAGCCTGTTACTGCTGCACTGACTGGACTTCACTGTAAACAACAATCACCTTTGCTTCCTATTAAAATGTTAGAGAATGCAGAACCACAAACCTCAATGTCACAGCAGAGCTCTTCAAAATACATTTGTGTAAAACTGCCAAACGAAGCAACAATACATACTTTCTTTTGGTAGCAGGACTGGTGGATAACTCATAAGTGCCACTGCAAAATGAGGCAGACTGGTACCTTCTTTAACAATATCACTAATCTAACATAGCGGGCCTAGGGCCTATTTCCACACATAGCAAGACCCATGTATTTAAACCACTTACATAGTCATTGGCAATACACGAGTGTCTTCTTGTAACTACACAACTGAGCTGTTGTCCTTCAGCAGGTACCTGGGTTACTGAAAATGCTGGACTAGGGCACTACGGCTATCAAGGTTGTCTCCTCGCGTAACAGTATTATGACCGTAATTTCAAATACAAAAAACAACTAGATTAAGTGATGGCTCTCACACGGCACAGATATCATCTTTGAAGTCTTCAGTATTGACACTGGGGTTCACAAGTTAAAGTTAAAAGCTGAAAAAACTTGATGGATAGTTTCAGTAGATTTCCTTTTATTTTAAATGTTTCCAACACTGCTATAATTGTTTCTTCAACTGACAAACCCCCCACTGCAGTTGCCATTACTCCTATCTTGGCAGCCATCAGAATCTGCTGCTATAGTGAATGAGGAGGATACAAAAACATACAGGAAAAGTAGTATCTCATGATTGACAAGCTTTTCAAGTTATTTTGACAACAACATGTCAATAGGCTTCACAGATTTTAAAATAGCTCTACTGATTTTTCTGTATCTTCATGTTTATCACATGCCAAAGTCAAGATTTTAACTATGTCAGGACTCTCTTTGCCTTGGGACAAAACTGCTTGAAGTCCTGTGACATTATCTCCTACATGTCACTTCTACAAGAATGGAAGGCAATCTCCATCATCTTCCTTCTCTTCTCCATTTTATGGACACACATCTGTGGCTCACAACTGAAAACATTTTCTGAACTCTTTGAAATTACATTTATTACATAGATGTCCCTGAAGCTGTCCCTGTAGAAGACAGGTACAACTAAACATCCAGAGAACTGGAAACCCTCAATAGGATGATTCAGACTGAACTCCAGCAGACATGTTTCTCTGCATTTAGTATCCAGTCTAGTAACTCAGTGAGGTTCCTCAATTAGATGAAGAATGTCAGCCAGTATTTAATTTAAAGTTCAGGTTCTGGAGCACAACTTTCCTGCAAGCAGATGATGTATCTAGCAAACTACAGGACACAGGATAACATGCACCAAATCCTTGATAACATTTCAATAAATGTTCTTCATGTTTTTTCTTGCTTTTTCATCAAATCCAATTGCTACAAAACCAACTTCTATATTACAGCAACAGAGAATTTCCAAAAATGAGACAAAACACGGGTGAAGACTTTTTTTTCCCCTTTTTAATTCAGTAACTTTCACTCCTAAGGCCAAACCAAAGGACAGGAATTTTTTCAAGAATCAATTCCTTGATAAGACTTGTAGAAACCACTTCACCCTGTCTTCTCATGTTCTCTCTATCCCTCTTTCCCCACCAAGTTTCTCTTCTCCCAGCTTAAACTTCATGCCTACACCTGCCAAGCAGCTGCTGTAAACAGCGGAATGCTTCATTCTGATACCTTCTTCTGAAGAAGCAAAAGCTTATGTGCTTACTGTAGTGTCAGATACTAAGATTATTATTTTATATCTGTAGGATATTTTTGATGTGCAAATCTTAAGTTGTAAGACAGTCAGTCTTCCTCCAACAAAACTCCACACTGAAGATATTTTCCAGGAATAGTTACTGACTGTAATTTGTGGAGTAAATTCAAGAAGCAGCAATAGCCCCAAAGAAAAGATCAAAATCAGATTCACTATTACTGTTATCAAAGTTATAAGAAGCTAACAAAAATAGACAGATAGCTTTGAGTACCAAGTTTTGTGCATAAATATCTCAAGCTCAAGTAGGAAAGTTTTATAAAACAAATTATCTTACCTTTGCAATAATTTCTGAAATATTCTTCAAGGATTGCTTGATTGGGTATTTGGCCATATCCCACTGGAACCTTGTTATATAGGTGACCAAGTCAACTAAAAATTTAAAGAAGAACTTTGTTAAGATAGACAATAAAAAGACTGATGTATTATATTCCATGCAGGATTGCTGTAACAGAAGAGTACTGTTTGTGGACCTTCACATGTGTGGACCCTGTTAAGAAATTTGAAAATAAACAATCAAGTTGTAAGTTATCCATGACCTCTGCCTTCAGATATTGGTTTCTCCACCTCCATAGACCCTAAACAATATTTACCACAAAGTCAACGATAGCTGGAGAAGTACAGACAAGACTAACTATTTTTTGCTTTGTGTGAAAAATGGGTGGGAGAAGGGAGGGTTGCAATGGAAAAAAAGAAGGCAAAGACTATGTGGCTCACCTGAAGCAACAGCATTGTAAAGCTATCTGAGAGAGACTATTTCAAGCCCCTAAGAATACTGTGTTAATTACGACTGCTGCACTTGTCTTCATGGTAATCCACTCATATTAGCTTCTCTTGCATCAATACAAACTGTGTAAAATTTTATGAAATAGCTTTGAAAAGAACATATTGATTTAGAGACCAGTGGAACTCTAATACAAGGGACAAATATTTCCATGAGACAACCAGTTTTATAAAGACATTCTATCACAATTTGGGAAAAAAAATTGAGTATTCCAACATAGCTTACATAAAATCACACCTATTCAGATGACACATTAATACCAATAATGTTTACAGTGATCAGTAACAGTAATTTTTATGTTCCACCAGGGACCGGTGAGGATAAATTACAGCCCTAAAGGATCAAAAGGCTTCTCTAAGTGAGTATTTAACATGTAGATCTAATTTCTTGCCATTATGGATCCTACAACTTGTTTCAGGGCAAGTGACTCATGGAAAAAAGTACTTCCGTGTCTAAACTAGGCTTTCAGAATGTCATACAGAGAAGCAGCATTTAGTATGTTTCAGGATCATTGCCTTCCCTCCTATTGTTTTTAGGATGCACATATTATGGTTAACACTTTACCTCCATTAGCCAGAAGATTCTCCTGAACTTTATCTTTACTGTCTTCTAGAACATCAGCCATATACTGGGCCACTTTTTTTACAACACTGAAAAATGAAAGATAAAGATATGAAAAAAAAAGAATGAAAAAACCTGCCATTTTGAGAAATACCATTCATGAAACTGATCTAAAACTGCCTGGGAAAAGAATTAAGAGATTGGATCAAAAAGGAAGAGTTGATTGCTTTATGTACAAGCTTTCCAAGAGCACAAACTGGGCTCAGTATCTGAAGTAGATCAACTTCTTAAATACATGCCAGAACTCTACTTATAACTTTCTCTAGTGTTGCTGATCATCCGTTCTCAACAAGGTGAGGCTACTTCTCTTGCCTCCAGGTAGTAAGGGTTGACTTCAGGTGTTCTCTCACTATACTCCAATATTTTTTTGAAGTCTGTGGTACTTTAAAAATCCTAACCCCTTTCTAACAATAGAGAGTTAGAAATCATCAATAATCCAAATTAAATACAAGGCAACCGTGACAATGAAACACAAAAGATAGCTGAAGAGCAATGGAGTAACACCAGCCCTTAGCCCTCATAAGATCTAACACACAAGACCTGCTTTCCTCACCAGAAAAGCTATGTTTAATATTACTCACACGTGCCATGCCAAATAGTTTCCTTTTCTGTTTAAAAACAACAGCTTAACACTTCTATTCTTGAAACAGAAGATGGCTCCACAGGTTTTGGTTATGTGAAATTGTTATATTTGCTCAAAATCACTTTCAAAGGACCATTAGTTTCTTCAAGATGAACAGGGTTTGCATTTCAATATTAATGCTGTTCAATCACCTCTGTGTTTTACCTCAAAGTCTGTAAATAGTACTCTAACTTGCTTAAAGAACAGTTTTTACTCCATTTCATCATCACTTCCTGCAGCTGTCAGGTTCAACTCTTAACAGAGCTCCTGGACCCAGCAGCACACAGCACGACTATGAAGAGAATGCTCCTTCACCAATGCAGAGCGTCCCGCCATTCTACAAGAAATTCAGATTTTTTTTTCGAAGTACAGATACTAGTAAAAACAGCAGCTTAGCTTACTGAAATCTTAGCTTGCTGACTGCCTACAGAGGATCACTATGAAAAAAAAAAGTTGAAAATAATCCATGTATTGTTAGGACTTGGCAAACCATCACATCATTATTCTAATATTTTGCATGCTAGTAAAAATAAACTGCTACCTCTCCACAAATGCATCCAGTTTAGCCAACTCATCTGACAGACCAACCAAAACATCCAGTGTGCCAACCTAGAAGGAAAGATCAAAATGCATTAGCAATTGTATAGAAACATAAAACCAAATAGCAATAAAAGCTAAATCTCCAGAATGGGTAGCTTTGCAGAACTACATAAAATACTGTACTCTTAAGATTTCAGACTTGTTGATTTAAAGTCACCCTGGGTTTCATTTGCTCAAGATACCCCTACAGCACGACTGTATCAGAACTCACTCTAGTTTGGTGCACAGTTTCAGCCCTACATTCCAGCCATCCAAAACATGTTAAAACAACTTCTACATTATGAATTGGCTGCATTTCCCACAAGTCACTTGCTTCAGCATTTGATTTACTACTTTGGATTAAATCTGGAATTTCTGTAATCAGGTATCTCAGTGCTGGAGGCAACCAGAACATTGAAAACGTTGAAGATACACGAGTACTGCAGCAGTCAGACCAACAAGGGTCTGGACTTCTTGCATCTGGAGTAACGGAGTATCTAACTTGTCTACAAGCTTCCACTCTTTCTTCCCTTCTCCTCCAGAAAACACTTTCTTCCCTAATTTCATGTAATAATCTAGAGCAATACATATACTTTTCTGGGGCCAGGGATGACACCTACCATTTTAGACTCTGTGTAATTCAAACATGAAAATTACAGCACAGTAAATATTCTGTTTAGCTTTCACAAACAAGTCTCAAATGGGTCTAAGACATCAAAAAGTGTAAAAACAGTATAGCTATGCTCAAATTAAATAGCCAAAGGGTAATTATTTTTAAATAGGTCATATAATATCTGTTTCTTTGATTCTCTCCAAGTACTTGCATATTTGTTCATTCTGTTCAATGAAAGTAGGAAACACCTCCAAAAAGACAACTTGTCTTATCTTTAACATTTTAGCTACTAGATCACATTTCTTGCTGAAATATTAGGCATAAGCGAAACTTCTGTCTAGTCAAGATGCTATTAACATCACTTTTAGTCTAGCATCTTTGTTCTATGTATTTGACCACTCAACTTCAAGTGAATCCTTTTCTCATTAGCCTTGAAGCTGAAAGGAGCACAATTACCTAAGTAGCATCACAACCAAATCGCTTTCCATGCCCTGGCAGAATAAGGAAGCTAACATTCCAACTAGTCACTTACAAGCACAGGACAAGTAAGTCTTCAAGCAATAAGACTGTTGTTCAATGGAGACTAAGTCACTGTTTCAATGAGTTTTAACTAAAGGATATCACTCCTTGAACAGTTCTACCAGGTCCACAGAAGCCAGACTATTTCCCACAGTATATAAAATACCCTCAGCTTATGCCCCTTTTAGGCAGTAGAGTAGAAACAAAAACAATCTTCTATAACTCTAATGGGCCACATCAGTTTTCAGTGATAGCTTTTCTAAACATAGGCACCCTACAGTTTCAAAGGCATCCTGACTCAAGTCCAAGGATCTCCTGGGAGAAGACAGACATTTGTTATAGTGCCTCTTCTTACCTTTACTAGTATATCTCTTGAAATAACTCAGGACAGTCTAAATGTGAATGTAAGTTACGGCAGCTGGAAGATCCTCTTAAGAGAGACACTGAAGCACTTTATGCCCTGGGCCTGTTCCTTCGCAGCGCCGGGAACAAAGCATCACGCCACCTGAACCTGACCTACTCTGTAGACAGTTGGTGGCGATTTTCCTCTTCATTTTGATATACTTTGATGAGCTTTCACTCAGTTAAACTGAGCTCACAATTCCTCTTGTTCAAGAAACATTTGTGTGTTAGGATAGACATTTTCCTAATGAATTTACTGGCTCATAACGTTTCCGTACCCTGACAGTGGTTTTTAACCAAGAGAAACTGCTTCCAGATTTCGTTTCTCTTCATTTCTCACAGAAATAGTTCAAAAAGTTTTCCTGCCATTTTCTATAGCACACATGGGCAGGTCACACTGGAATGCTCAGCTGGAGGCAACCACTATTCTAACAGAAGAGTGGTACTTCTGGACAGACTAAAAACAGCAGCTGTCTGATCAACCTCCGTATTTTACATCAAGGTTTTTTACTGCATCTCAGCCAGAACAGGAGCAGCAGACAATTCAGAAGGGGAAAAAAAAAAAACAACAACAAACCACACCCAAAACAACAACAAACCCAAAAACCAACCAAACAAAAAAACCCCAAAATCATCAAAGGAAACTGTATCATCTAAATACTTGGATCACAAGTTTCCATTTTTCTTCTATTTTCTTCTCCAGCTACCTGCTAGCAGTATGAGGTCAAGACTACTACCCCTGGAAAAACTGCTGTATTTTTAACTTAGAATTTCAGAAAAAATATAATTGTTGTCTAAATTATTTTTCAGATCCACACATAATCATCAAAAGAAGTTAGCTGGTCTCTAAAAAACCTGCAAGTATTCCCCATCTACAGTTTTAGCCTAAAGAAACAAAGATGATGCAAACCAAACATACTTCCTAGGACATAAAATGGGGCTTACGTACCTTCAAGTCCGGAATATTGAACTTTGAATTAGTAGAAAGATTGTTACTTTTTGTAGTTGCTGCATGTAGTTTCTCCCATGTCTGTTGACAAGTTTTTTCCCCAGGAGCAGAAATTAGCCAAAACTCGGTCATTTTTGTGCCTTTATCTTGACGCTTTTTGCTTCTGAAGATAGTGACAAGATGCTAGTAGAAGAAGAGTAAGGCAGGGAGAGAGAAAGAATATCTGCCATTAATTCAAGATTCAAAGCTTCGCCTGAAGAAAAACATCTCATTTCGTGTTACTAAAGTGCAGTTCCAGCCACTGTTAAGAGATTTTACCAAGAGTATCACATGGTTCCAAATTCATTTTTTCCTATCTTCCAAATCACATTTGCACAGTTGGAAAGTCTTTTTACCCTGCCCATCCTGCAAGTTAAAGCAGGCTGAGTTTGCAACATTCACATCTTTCAACTGCAATTCCACAAAAGATTATAAGCAAACAATCTAACTGGAAATAAATCCAATAAAACAGAAACCAAATCATATTTCCACAGCTGTATATTTTCCAGCATCTGTACAACGGACAACTTTTTCTGAACAGATAATAGAAAAACCCCCAAATTTCAACTCTGACATTATAGCTTTTCCAATTGCTTTTCAGACTAGGACAGTGTTTCTGAAGTGAATAAATGCCTAAAAAATATTTAAATCTGACAAACTTTAGTTTATTCTTTCAAGCAAAGAAGGTTCCCCTGGCAGCTAAAAGTTTCAACAAAAAGGAAGACACTTTCTAGTCTTGGTATCTCTGCTGTCATTGCAGACCTGCAATAACATTACACATACTGGCACTAGTCAGGAGAGTATCAGTACTAAACACAAATTACGTTGAGCTACTTTGTAAACAACGTCAAGAAGTTAAGAGTACATACATTCTTCTGTCACTACGAAACAGAACAAGCCAAGTTGAGAGCGACTGGATTTTTTTAATAAGGGAGTGAAGAACAAAATCGAAGTGTACCTTGACAGACTCTAAATGTCAATTTTTGATGTTTGCAACGTCTTCTGTAGCAGCTTTGAAAGAGCAGAGACTAACCTACATTTCATAATGAGCACCGACTACAGCACTCAATTTTTTTGAGAGAATCAAATCTTGCATTTGTACAAATTAATATATGGCAGCAAACTGCCCAAAACAACACATACAGGTCCTTCAACTGTGTAATCACTCTAAGGTCAACAAGTTACCAAGGGTCTTGATGTTAGAGATGTGCTGAAGAAAGGCTTGTTAGCTGATTCTTTCATTCAGCTACTTGGGAAGCCTCAAGCTGCACAAAGTTTACCAACCGTTAAATTAATATCATCAAGCACATCATCTCACTGGCATAACAGCCGTTCCCCTTCAATTAAGGGGCCCTGTTTACAACAAGAATGATGACATCCAGTTAGAGGGTCTTGATACCACACACTCCATGATGTCTGACACTCCACTATCAGGTAGCAGCACAGCAGCACTATAATCCTAAATACAGATGATGCCGATGGGTACATATAGTTGAGAAATCAGAGTATTTACAAGACCAGACACATGTCCCACTCCACACAATCTTGTCTGGCCTGACCTAGCTCAGTTCTGGGCACTCTCCTGTGCTGGGGCCACACGCCCGCACAACTGGTTCTATTCAACAGCAGAAAGCCAAGGACCTGAAGTTATCTGTGCTCTCCTCACTGGCACTACTCTCTCTTCTCCTCTAACAAGGTGCTGAAGTAGGTTGGAAGAAGGGATAAGGAGTTCTTTTCCCATAGAAATAGTATGGGTGTGAAAAGGGGTCCTATCTCTGAGAAGGACAAGTGCAAACACTGGGTCTACTTCCCCCACCATGCTGTGGTCTTGACTGCTGGGGAAGGTCCCCAAAAGCAGAATCAGAAAGGGGGGTGAAACCCCTGCCAACAGCCCCTCGGGCACCACTGGTCCCCTCATGCTCAGAAGGGCACATGGTAACAATCCCTGGCCGTACCGTACTGACGATTTTGGTATCAGGAGGTATCGTGAAAAATTACAGCAACACCAATCACCACCACTATAGCACAGCATGTTACGGGGCTTCTTTGTTGAGGGAAGCACTAACCAGATTATCTCACATAACGGGTCTCCACAGGAGGTCTACTAATAATCAAATATTTGGAACGAGACAAAATCTCCTCTTATTCAGTCTACTTTGATGCATTAGCTTCTTTAACACATGCCAAACTCAGTGAATCCATGCACATGATGTTTTCCTACACTTCACTGAACCCTGGCCCTACAAAAGACACGGGCCAAGTTTGCAGCAAACCACCCACGCAGGGAGACACGGCTACAGCTGATATGCATATTCAAAGTTCTTAAGCTTTAAACTGGCTTTTGTTTGTATTTTACTACACTAGGACTAGAATAGGCTTTGGAATGAACATCGGATAAATAAGAGGAAATACTTCAGCAGGCAGCAGTGTGCAAATATCCAAGTAAAAGGCAGGAGAGATATAACATCGAAATCCAGGCTGCTATCCAGTAAAACGGATGGAGCATTGCATTCTCATGTTTTCCCCTTAAAACATAAATAGCCCTTACAGAATATGTATAAAGTTTCCAGAGGTTATATCATCTAAGGAAACAGTTACATGTCTACAAGGACACAGTCTCATTCCCTGCATTACAGATTGGGAAAACCAGCTCATCATTAAAAATCTAAACATATTTTCCCAGGGAAAAAGAAAAAAAAAATCTTTAATAGACCCATTGCAAAGAATAATTGCTTTCAAGAAGTAACATTTTCCAGTATTTTAAACTTGGTTTTTAAAGACGAGCTGTTCAGATTTCACATTAAGACACTAAGTTTGCTATAAACAAGCCTGAAGTTACAAACATGTTACAGACTTCCAGCAAATCCTTTTTCATACTTATAAACCAATGAACTACAGCACTTCATGCTTCCTTAATATAAGAGGCAAAAATGGATTGCTCAGCTGAATAACCAAGGTTGTCTACTGCTCAAAGCAAAGAGGCACAGGTGAAACAGTTGTAGCTCCCAGGAATCCTTAAGCTAGAGGACTTCTCTCCCCTTCCTCCCTCACCATTTTGTGTGGTTGGTTTTCCTGAAGCTCTGTTCCATTTCTAATAGACATGGGAAGAAAGATGATTTCCCATTTCAGGTACCTATTCAACTGAGGTATTTTTAAATACATACAAGGAAAAAAAAGCTTGGTAGCAGAGTTTTAAATGTTTGTTTGTATGCTTTTTTTTTTTGGGGAGGGGGGAGTTTGAAATCAGAACTATGGCGAATAACGGACAAGAAGTGGAGAAAGGAGAAGTGCTACAGAATGGTAAGAAAGCCAGAAACAAATGCTAGTCAGCAAAAAAACACATACCGACTCACTGTAAAATGAAAGCCATGAAATGTAAAGAGAAGGACCACAGAATACCAAGTGTTCAAATCTACTAAGTACATTGATCGGTATTTTTTAGTAAACTACTATTTCATACCTTTGATCTGCAAATAACAGATATAGTCTGCCTTGAGATTCACTGCTGTGGTGAATTTATTCTTTCTTTAGGTCAGCAGATATTTGTGAACTGGCAGGCCCTGGCACCTCAGCACTTCACAAAACCCACCACCACACTCTTTTTTGGCCTTAACATTTGAATATCAGTTACACGGATACTATCATTTATTAACTACACCCTGCCCTGAAAAAATCTTATCTATACTTTTGGACAGTATTTTAAAACCACATTACTGCAAGTATGTGATCACTCAAAAATTCTAGTTGAAGGTAGACTGGGATTTCACTGTACTAGGCACTCATTAAGGAGTGACACTGTTTCCCAGGTGCCTTTGTAAGTATTTTCTGGAAAACTTCAGCCAAAAAAGCGTTTGCTACACAACTGAAGAAAAAAAAAAAAAGTCAAGAAAATAAGAATCAAAGTTTATACAACAATCTCTCTGTAGACTATGCTGAAGCAAAGTTCAGGACTGTGAGGAACAGCTTCTGGAATTCCAAGATTACACGTGACACTAAGCTAGCTACCTTGATACTTAACGATTCCCCAGGTCACAAAATTACTATTGTAATACTGATCGACCGAACCATCAGTATCTCAAAAAAAAAAAAAATCAACAAACATTTAATCTTCCAAGACCAGCAGTGCTTTGATCCATCTTTATCTTGTTTAGTACTCACAAAGAATGCAAAGTCTTTTAAGTGATTAATACTAGAAATTCACTAAACACACGTTCCTCTGAGCAGCATCTCGCCGAGTTTCCCTTGACACTTTCTCATAAGCGTGCTCACAACATAACTTTGAAGCGTAATAGTCTTCCACGTGCTGTTACAAAGAGATTTAAGTAACAAACACATTGCCAAGATGTTCTGCTAGTCAAATAAGCACAATTCATCTATAAATGCTTGAAATGTTTCATTCCTTGAAAATTTCCTTGAAGCTTACTTGGTTTTGAACCCTAATTACTCTTAATGGCCATAGTAAGTCTGGTATATTATCTAAAGCGTATTTTGCATTACTACCCGTAATTTATATTGCTTAATTTCTATGTTATTACAAAAGCAAAGAGTAAGAAAAAATGGAGTTCCAGGGAAAAATATTTCATGAAATATACTACAATCCAAGCAACAAACCCACTAAACAGTTGTTTCAACGCTGCACATGGAAACGCACGTAACAATGTCGAAACAGAATCTCAGCTAAGCAGACACTTTGCAGTGCGTTCTTCAAAAACAAGAAGGCTAGGGGGAGGGGACAAATGTTTTTTCCTTCCTATTCAGCTCAACAGGAAGGCTCAGTTTACCAATGCGATTTAAAGGCCTCCCAACACCCAGCACTAAGCCCCCGGGACGTCCGTTTCTCCAAGCTCGCTCTCGGAGATCACCTCCGACGCTTGGCGCTTGCCCTTCGCCGCCCCCACGTTTCACAAACAGCAGCGGCCGCAGCGAGGAAGGCTGAGCCCGGCCCGGGGAGACCCCCCCAAGGCAGAGCTCACACCGAGCCCCCCGCGGAGGCACGCCGGGGCCGGG